TTGTCCAAAGAAGGTTGGTTCTCTTCCAGTTGCTTTTCTTCAATGGCTTGTATCTGAGGACTTCTCTTCACTGCAACAGTGAGTTCAAGTTAGTACACTTGAGATACTACACTGCAGCTGCACATAGTTCTTTGATAAGCAGAGTGATTGGATTAGCTGCTGATGAGATGTTGTAACTTCAGCATCACTCCTATTTCAACCTGCTCCCCTGATGGGCCAGCTGGCGCAAACATAAAACACCACTTAGCTTGAGCTGAAGATTTGTGTGTGGATAGGAGTCGATTTAAGGATAACACTCGAGTTACAACTCGTACTGAGTGTGCTATGAACATAAACCCTGGTGGTATGTCTACACAGCAGCTGGCAGGGTGCTTCCCAGCATGGGTGGACAAACATGCTAGTTCAGATGAAGATAGTGTGCTAAAAATAGCAGTGTGGCTGTGGCCGCTTGGATGATGGCAGGGGGTAACTAACCCCACTGGAGCACCTACAGGTGATAGCCTGAGCGGCCACATATACTACCACATCTTCACTGCTATTGTTACCCATGCTAAAATCAGGCCTTCCCTTGCCATGCAGACATACACTTAGATATTCAGAAGACCAAGCTTTTCCTGTTATTTCAGTCCTAGAGCTGTTTCTGGAGTTTTAGATTTAAAGGATGTCCTGTACTGAGGATTTCTTGTAACAAATTACCTTATTTCTTATACAAAAGATCACCAAAGCAGCCATTTTTTAGAAATGAAATTTTTTTACGAAAGGTGTTGTAAACATCAAAATCTTTGATTTTTGGTCAGTTTCAACATAACTGATTTTTTTGAATATTCATTTTTATTATTATTTTTTCATTTATTGAAAACCTTGCTAAACAAAAAATTAATAATGATTTTGAAAATAAAATTAAAAGTATGTATTAAAAACCCACAGTGTTGAATCTTCAATGTAAAAGGGTCCATTCTAAGCTCTGTGAAATGGAGACACCTTTAAAATTTTGAAATTTGCAACCTGTTTTTTTTCCATTTTTCAAGTAGATCTAAGAGGCAATAGCAGTATAAATGAGTGTTCATGGGACTCTCTCAACTAATAGTAATTTTTATAATGAATCGCTACTTAGCACTTTCAAAGCATTTAACAGCTACTAACTAATCCTCAAAACACATTTGTGAAATATGTATTACTAGAATTAGAAGAATAATGCAAAAACATTATTCATACCTATTTTAAGAATGAACAAAGCTCTGTGTTTGTATGACATAAGGTTACTCACTATTCATTATTGGCTATTCATCAATCCTTATTCTCCTGTTCACAAAATCTTCCATCCAATCAGAGAGCAGAGACAGAACTGTGTAACCCAGATGACCAATCACATTTCAGAAGAGCTGATAATGGAAGTGAACGGCTCACATATACCCCATCTGTTCAAATAAACTCTGTTACACTGTTCTGTGAATAAGGAAGACATGACCAGAGATCAGAAAAGGTTTGTGAACAATTCAGAAACAGAAGAAAAGTTTTATTATCAGATTATTTATTCATCATGAATAATTGACCTGCTCTGACAAATATCCACATTTTATGGTTAGAAAAACTGATACCTGGGGAGGTTAACCAACATGTCCAGTTTCTACACTTAGTTTAGAACTCTATGATTCATGGTTCCCAGTATCTGAAAACATAAGAAAAGCGTTGACATCCATATGGAGTCTGTGTGACATTCGGTGTTTGCTAATTTGCATTTCAGCATCTGATAAGGAGAGCAGAATATATATCTGGCCAGGGCTTTGCGCAATTTCTTTGACTGCCATAGGAGTCACCATCCTCATCTTGACATACAAGAAAAGCAAAGGGAATAAGTAAGTAGAATTATCATTTTCTTTTAAATTATCTTACAGAATTCTATTTCACTCCTCTTTCCTGCTCCATAGTTTAACATCATGTTACCATTTCTTCAGATCTTGAAAACTAACCTTGGTGTCTGTCCCAGATTTTTATAAGTATTTACATGTTATTACACCCAGTATTGCAGGCCTAACTGGTTTAGGAGCTAGTCTCGTTTTCAAAAGTGCTTTAGGCACTTAAGAGCCAATAACCCATTAACAGTCAGTGGGTTTAGGCTTCTAGGTGCCTTTTAAATGAGACCTAGGCCAGGTCTACACAACAGATGTATACCCACACCCTTGAGCGACATAGTTATACTGACCTAACTCCCCCACATAGACAGGGCTATGTCAGTTTTTGGGGCCGGCAGGAAATCTGTAGTCTGTATCCAAA